CCTTGCAAACAGAAGTATGCTTCTTCATCAACAAACTTATGCTCACAAGCTTCTCAATATGTTCAACATGGAAATTGCGAATGCACTTTCAGCACCTATGATGGAGAGGAGCAAGACTGACGATGATCCATATCGTTTTGCTGAGCTAGGAGAGGAGTTAGACAAACCAAAGTATCTAGCAGTAGTTGATGCATTCCTCTACTTGGCGACGAATACTCGACCAGACATTAGTTTTGCCGTCAGCGTCCTCGCCCCACACAACCATCGTTCCATAGCACGACATTGGCAAAGCGTCAAACATCTCCTCAGGTACATTTGAGAAACAGAAGATCTTGCTTTTCATTTTCACCGCGGCCAACACGATATCATAGGCTATGCCGACTCTGGCTTCAAGACAGATCTAGCGACTGTCAAGTACTAAACAAGCTACATATTGAAGTCTACAAAACAAACGGTCACGACAACTTCAATGAATCATGCTCAGCTTCTTGAGTTTCATAAGGCAATGTGACTTTGCATCATTCAAATCGTCATATCCAAGATGACTAGATTTTCACTTCAGGAGAAGCCAACAACAATTTTTGAAGATAATGCAACTTTTATTGAGCAAGTATTTTGTGGTTTCATCAAGGCAGACCCCGTCAACATATCAGCACTCACTTATTCAATTACAGACAGGATCTCATGGAGACGAACTAGATTGTAGTACGAAAGATAGCTTCAGAGGAGAACATCGGGGATATCCTTACAAAGACGTTACAAGCTCCGCAACATTGAAAGCTCATAGACGCAGTAGGGATACTTACTTTAACAAAACTTGTAGACAAGAGTTGAATTAGGAAACAAATAATGACTTCACTCTTTTTCTTCAATCTCCTTGAAGTTTTTTAATGAAAAAATTCATCGTTTGAGGAGGAGTGTTGAGACAAGATGGGGAGTTTGTAGAATTGGGTGGTACTAACTTTGTTACATTGTTGGTATATGTTCGTAAGTCCCTCCACTGCATTTCAGAGTACTAATAGATTTCACATAGTAAAGAGCATTTTAGAGTACTAGTACATTGCATATATACCAGAGTATACCAAAGGACTAGTACATTGCCCATAATCCAAAGCAAACCAAAGAAAGGGTACATTGCACAGAGTCTAGAGCAGACCGACATTGTAGATGTTAAGACAAGATGAAAATCTGTCTCTATCCATCCATTGAGTTTACTTCAGATTACCATAGATAACATAAAAGATCATCTCATAGTGTCTTACAACCATATATTTATATGGGAGTATTGTGAACTTTTATGTTATCTAATTTAACCTAAAGTAAACTTTATGGATTGATAGAGAAAGACTTTGATTTTGTCTCAACATCTGCAATGACGGTCTGTTCTGGATTATGTGCAATGTACCAATACTATGGAATGCAACGGGGGAACTCACTTATATATTCCAACAATGTTAGTACTGTACCACCCAACTCTAGAAACTTCCGACCTTGTCTCAACAAAGACCATTATGGAAGGGTCTTAGAAGCCACTTTTCAGGATGCAGTCACCCTAAAAAGCGACTTAATCTTTTACCACAGTTTTTCGACTGCACCATGTTGGTGCCACCGCATCGCACACGTTGCAACTCTGCCATAGTAGCGGCGCTGGCTGGCGTGGTAGCTGAAGCGGCTACCACGCTGACGGTAAGAGGATCTTTGTCCGACCTCGAGAGTTCCAGAGTACGGTTGACACAGCGAAATGGAGGCTCGAGCCAACGGCGGCGATGCTTCGCTTTTGGAGCTTCAGTGGAGTGTTTGCTCGTGATTTGAGTCCGGGTAGAAAAAGCAACCGTCGATACACTGGTTCCATGAACATGAGATGCCCCGATCGAGCCTCAGAATCGAGAAGAAGCAGAGCTCTTCTGTTCCCCGCTGTTTTCGCAGCCTTGTATTGTGCTCTCAAACTCTGGGTACTACCAAAGAGTGAAAGAGTGTCGAGAATCAGACCACAGAACCTTCACTTCGCTGCTGCTGATGGTGGGGTGCCTATGGTCGACTTGGATGTCGAAGCGAAGCGGGCGATAGAATGCCACCAGCGCTGTGGCAGCTACATGCTGGAGGTTCGCAGATATTGTTACGATCCACTCCGTACCGTAGAGTGGGGTGGATGAGGCAGGCCACGAAGCACCATCGAGGACTTTTGTAAAACGATGTGGGTGAAATCCGCAAACTGCATGACGGCATTAGTTGTGACAGGTCCTCATTCGGTTCTGAAGCCGGACTGGAGCAGAGCCTACATTTAATGAGCCGGCCACTGGGGGGCTTCACCCGACTGCAGACGAGGTCCTAGCCTGGTTTTCACGACCAAGATTTCCGGCTGGTGATGGTGGTCCTTTTCGGAATCGTGGGATTCACGTCTTTGTCAGAAATGGTCCGTGCCAGTTTAGGGCAGCCGGAAAGCAGAGGCCACCTGTCATCAGCAGCAACCAGGAAGAGAAGAGAAGAGAAGAGGTGACATAGATCGTCCCGTTCCCCGAAGGAGAGTACAGAAAGTCTCAGGCCTGGGTCAGGCTTCAGATGATCTATACACGTCCCGAGAGCGGGTTTGTGGAACACGACAGTTGATAAGATCTGTGACGTTTGATGCCTTTGGACTCTAGCCTAATCCTGCAAGATAATATTATCCATTGTCAAAGATGTCCGAAATCTGTGTCTGAGTCTGGCCCAGGGCATTGCTGCCAGGCCGTGTACGATATCATCATAGCTATGTCCATGTGCTGGACAAGGCTTGTCCCCCGAGCTTCCCTCTCCTGTACGTACCTATACGGGGGTGACAACGAAGGCCTAATTAGCAGATTATGTACACCCGAGAACACGCCCACCCTTCGGGTATTGGATGTCCTACGTGATCACACGCACCACATCCAGGTCCTCCTCTATCTCCAGAGCTCTGGTGGTGCTAATCCTCTTGCAGGAGGTAACAAACGGGACAAAGGTCTTCGTGAGAAGTCAGTGGAGATGTGTTTCGATATGGAATGATCCGAACATCTGTGGGCGTCGCTAGCAGACGTCGCAGTGCGTGGAGCCTATTGGTCAAAGAGGGTTTTTCAATCTGCATCCTCAAAATCCCGTTTCGGTTTCCTCGTATAGCAACATTTCCAGCGGGGAAAGCGGGGGTGCCAAACCACCATGGCTCCTGCTGAAGCACTATGGTGTAGCACATAGAGACCGGTCTGTCATGTGCTTTGAACACGTCTGGGGTGCGTGCATCAAAGTCATACAGCGGCTGAAAAGCAGCCAGGAAAACGAAGACGTGCATTATGCAGGTTGCTCGTTGCTGAGCTTGTACCTCTGTAGTCCACTCTCCAACTCTGCTGGTTGAGGTGGGGGGCGGGCTGACTCAGACGTGCCATAAAGATGCTGACGCCTTTTAAGCTTCACGGTTTTACGGGTGGAAAAGGGCGGGCGTGCAAAGCTCTGACAGATGATTAATTCAGAGATGAAGGTGCGGGTTTGCAAACATTTGATTGGCAGGAAGGTTAGAAGAAGGTGGAATACACGCGTCCCGAGTGTCTATCGAAGTCCAGAGTTCAGTTTATGTTATAATTAAAAGGTGACAGTTTCTTCCCCGCTGCCTGTGGTTTCCGATGGAGAGCTGTACACAGCGCTTTGGTAGCTGTCACACGCTCAGAATGTGGCGCTGTAAGGCGCGATTTCGGCCACGCTAAGCTTCAGACCTCGATCGACACTACGGTACAGGAAAAGTAGAACACATCGTAGGAATCGTTTGTGACCGAAGGTTGGTGGCATCCAGGAGCTCTGACTGGACACGTGGTTTCGAGTTGTCAGCATGGGTCTCGCCGCTCTAGCAGCCTCAACAACTCGAAACCTGCTCGTCAGTGTCAGGAGCGGGGACGCACTCGATACACATGTCCTGACTGTGGAGGCAATGGGCATATCCTCACCTGCTTCCATTCTCTGATGCCGCCCGCAATCGGACTCTGTACGAGGCTTTGGGAAGTTGGGCATGGGGTCTGTCATCTCGTATGCAAAAAGAATGAAAAATGAATTTTTGTTTAAACCCTTTAAGAACGTTTCTGAAGGAGTATCGCGGATTTGGCGATCGAGGAAAGCATGAGTGAGCATCACGTTTGGTCCGTGAAATTTTGTAAAGCTGTGCGATGAGGCCTGCCACAATCTTTCACCCATGCTTCTGATCAGAACACCCTTTACGAGAAGAAGGTTAATAATGAGGAATGATGAGCTGCGGATGAGCTGCAGCATTACTGTCATTGAAAATCTCAAACCAACTGCTTTGAAAGCTTTATACCCTTCTTCGCTGAGGTGCACCCTGGCAGTGTATGTTGCAGCTCTGAGTGCTTTCCAACCAGGCTGATATTTTTTTCGACTGCCCGTAGACAAAGGTTCAGATCGATTTGAAGTTGAGGACACCGAGCAGATGTCTGTCGATTGATAATGGCTGCAGCTGCTGCTACGCTCTCGCTTGCCAACTCTCGAAAATTTTCATCCTTCTCCCGACAAGTTATAGGTTTCCTCGTCCCATTATGTTCCCGGAGCTTTCCAGAATATTTTCCACATGGCGGGGCGGAGTTGCTAGGATCAAGGTTGTTGACAGGTTGATGTTAAAACTTCTATCTGGTGACAGCAGCCTTGGCACTGGACTGCGGACTTCAGAAGACTGGGTACTTTCGCTTATGCAGGTGATCGTGAAGTCAAAGGTCTGTACCGGAGGGGTGGGGCGATTTGGCACGGCGGTGGTCTCGACACAATCATCTCACCTAATATTCGCCCTGTTGATTCGCAGTTTCTTCGGATACTTTACAACTGTAAAGAGCTGAAAATGCAGCAATTGTTTATTAAAATTCCTTATCCACTTGCCAAAAGCGCATGACGTACAGCTGCCCAGCGCATCCAGACAACTTTATTACTGAACGAGAGTAGACATGGTGGACTCAGGTGAGACAACACAAGATTCACTGTGGAGTCGTGTGGACATTGTTTTGTTCGTGCTCGAAGCACACTCCCTTTATTGTGTATAAGCACTTTACATACGACATAAATATTTGTACAAGAGTAGCTACGGCAGAAGGTAGATCACGTTTGAATCTTTCGTAGAACGCTGTCAGATTACACGGTGCGTGATTTTACCGTTCTCCCGAATTCTGAGCTCGAAACCAGAGGAAATTCCGACGAGTTTCTCTGTCACTGGACTTTCAACAAATTGCTGAATTACTACTCTACGCTAATTTTGAAACAAGGAAGAATGCGGGAGAATCGCAGATTTCCCGATTCACTTGCTCATCTCGAGATCCGCAGGCCAGCCTATCTGGTCCAGCAATGACAACACCACTCCATTGCTCCAGCCAAATCCTGTCTGCGGCTCGTATTCACCACCGCCTCCGTAAGATCCACAATTGGTCACATCGTACTTCTCGTGCATCTGCCCCGTGTGTTTGTATGTCCGGAAGTTGGTCGTCAGCCAGCGCCGAGCAATGTCGACAGAGAGCTCAGTTCCTGCGCTTTCGCCCAAGAGAGCCAACCCTTCTATCACCATGTGCTGCAGCGGAGCCCAACCATTGGGTGCATCCCATTGCTGTCCTGTGGTTAAGTCGGTGGTCGCAATCCCCGCATTCTGCAGCAGCCCAGAGGTTTTGAGAGCATGTACAACTCTCAAAGCACGTCCAGGTTTCTCGTTCTTCAAGAGACCGGCCCAAAGAGCGACGTAGTTGGATGCAAGATTCTGCTCGTTCTGTGCACTCGGATCGAACACATAGGGCACCAAGCCATCTTTCGGCAGCCAGTAGTCGAGCCATTGACTTTTTGCGTCACTCCACAAGATGGCGTCCATGGCAGTCTTGCGGGCAGCTTGAAACGCAGCGAACTGATCGCCCACATACTTCGCGCCCAAAATTGAGGCGAAGGTGCTGATATTGCCTTCCATTTGGTACAGAAACGCATTGAGATCAGCTGGAATGATGTGCGTCGTTCGCAAGGTCTGCAGCCTCTCCGGATCCTCCATCCAGCGTGAGCTGAAATCCCATCCACTCTCGGCCGCCGAGGCTATGTCCAGATACAACTGCGGGCGCAGATCCTCGGGCACATTGGCAGCTACTTCGATGTCGATGGTGAACGATTCCGGCCGGGGCTTGTTCCAGAATGCATAGTATCTGCTGAGCTGATGCGTCCGGCCTCCTTTGGAAATTTTCACCATGTGCGGGCCGCTGGTCCACCGGGAGTACTCTCGGATCAGAATTGGCAGAGCTTGTTCGAGCAGCAGAATGTCCTTCGTGGCCGCATATACACACTGCACCATTTGGCTCAGAAGAGGGGGTTGGCTCCGGTTCGAATAATACGATCTCGCGCCGTTGGGAACAAACCCCAGGGTTTCTGCCAGTGACAGCAGATTGAGCACGACGCCCTTGGCTGTGTCCACCATATTGCTCACGAGCAGGCCTCGAATGACCCAGTAACTGTCCCAGTAATACACTTCCCTGAATCTGGATCCAGGGACCACCACGGGGTGGGGCAATGGAAGCAGAGTGTGGCGGTCCGGATGGTCTCGGACCGCTTGCACCGTGAGGCGAGTCAGCTCTAACCATTTGGAATGCACCTGCAGGGCCCAGTTCCGAACGTCCAAATTGTGCACGTTCTTCAAGAACCCGAGCGGCTCCGCTTGGTAGTCCACAGGCAGCGAGACTTGAATGTCGGATCCCGCTTCTTCAAAGAACTGCTCCAGAAACGCTAAGAAGGTGTCGACGGAAATGGTTCCGTCGAAGCTTCGATGGAGAGCATCGAATGCAGCTTCGGTCTCGCGCAGACCGAAGCGCAGAGGGAGATCCACGAAGGGCTTGGGATCGAAGGCATCCGGATTGACACCGGAGGTCTGGAAAGCTGCACTCTGAATCTTCTGCAGAAGCGAAATTAGGCCGCCGGGCTCGGCTTCCGGCTCGGCCTCGGCCCCGAGCAGAGGCGGGGGCAGGCACGCGAAGGAAGCCAGCGAGGTGGGCATGGGTGACGAATCTGATGTCGGAACCACATCAGGCCTCACGAGGCTCACAAAATTCAATCCCAGGCTTTCCATGCGGAGCGAACTTAGAAGTATCGACACGGCCACGGCCCGGCTCTTGGGATAGATAATAAGACTGCACTGCAGCGCAGGCGCGGACTTATGCACGAGTCAAATCCACAAGCTCAGAGAGCTGAACCTCAGCACGTTCCAAGACTGCGAGACGCGTGGCTCGGCACTGGGCCAAGCGGGTTAGTTAACGGTCTTGCCTGCAGGAGTCAACCGGAACACGTACCGACCCCGAGCCCATCAATCAGATCCCCGCCCCCCCACCATGTCGACAATGGCTGACAGCGACCAGCTCCGTGGCATGTACATGAAGTCCAAATTGAGGAAACATGTGGCTTTCCAAAAACTGCTCAGAGGTTAGGGTTGCGAACAGGAATGCTAATCGGACACGTGAGTGCCCGAGCGCTCCAATAATAGATTGAACCAGCAGATATGGTACAGTGCATGTACAGACCAGACCCTCTGGATTAGAACCTGGAACTCGGAACTCCCCCTCCGCTCAGACACTCAGACACAAGCTTTGAGGTGTCCGAAACACTTTGCCTCTGGCTCGCTCGCTCGCCCTGAGAGCCAGAGAGCCAGAGAAAGCAAGCGAGAGAGAGAGAGAGAGAGGGAGGGAGAGAGGGAGAGAGGAAAGTGAATGGATGACATGAGAGTCCGGGAGGGAGAGGAGATTGTTATAAAGCTGCTGGTGGTGCTGGTGCTGGAGCTGCTGCAGCAGCAGCATCATCCATCTGCGCTGATATTCTCGTACCGGATCAAAACAAAGGACGGTGGTGCGGGCTTTTCTGAGCCCGAGGGCATTTTGGATGCAAAGTAAACCACCGTTAGCGAATTTCAAGAGGCATTAGTGTTAGCGTCCTCTTAAATCCAAAGCAAACAACCGCTACAGTTGAGGCCTTGTAAAAGATGCAGCAGAAGAAACCTCCGAGGCGGACTCTCGAGCCAGGGTTTAGGGACAACCTAAAGCCGGAGCTCTAAAGCCAAACACGAAGGAAGAGGAAGGAGGGAGGGAGGAGGAGGAGAAAGAGAAAGAGAGTGAGGGCGTTATGGCCTTGGCCAGATTCCGTCTGCCGAGTGTTCCATTCCTGCACGCAACTCACCTTCTTTCTCGTCCTGACGGCCCACTCCAAAACATCAATCGGTCAAAGCGTGGCTACGCAATCAGAGCATCACGAGAAGAACCGCAATGTGCATTCGAGCCCTCGGCCGCGAGAGCTGCAGCTCGGAGCGCGCTCGCTAGAACAAAACAAAAAGCACAGATTCCTGTCGACACATCAACAAACAATCGGACAAGATCTTCGAACTGTCTAACAAATGCAACCGCAGATTCCTGCCAATCTACCGAGCAGCCATAGGGGCAAGCACGCCCTCGGCAATTTACGCCATGCAAAGAGCCCAGCGCCAGTCCTCATCGTTGTCCTACTAATCAACTGACCTTAATGCACGAGCAGCCGCATCCTCGTCTCGGGGCAGCTCGATTCCCTATCAGAGAACGCTCACGCTCACGCGGCGCTTGCATAAACAACTCCATCACATGATGCGAATCTTGCCCCTTTCGCTCCAACCAACTTCGGATAACCCAGAATCTCGCACCTTCGCAATTCTCCCATCGAGCCAATCCCCGCCTCTCCACGAGGCCGGGATAGCTCCTCGTACTGTCGACCACATGCCGGCCAGCCATCGCGCGGCAGCACTCTTCCTCACCCCATGCATCGCTGCCCTCCCCCATCCCCGTCCCCATCCCGGGCCTGCCCGCGCACCTGCCTCGCCCTCACCCTCGCCCTCTGCCTCTTCCTCTTCCTCTGCCTGCTCGAGCCCGCAGCGAGCTCCGCTTTGACTCTTGCGCTCTGAGGTCGCCATTCATTCGACGGTTCCAAACAGCCGATTCCGTTCGAGAATCCTCGCACCCAATTCCACAAACGTCATCGCTGCACGTGCTGCTCCCGCCAGCGTCTGTTTCCCGCGCCTCGCCCGGCTCTGCCTCGACCCGCCTCGCCCTGGCCCTGCCGGCATCGCCTCGACTTCCTCCCTCGACTCGCTCGAGGTCGAGGTCGACGACAGAGCCCCGCCTCCTCTCGCCTCTCGCCTCGCTTCGACGACGACGACGATGATGATGACGATGACGACGACGACGACCTTCGCGACGTCGCGGGCGCATGCTTTCTTCGAACCCTGAGACAAGATGCCGCTCGTCGTCGCCGATCCACGAGGACGCCTCATGTCTGCTCGGCTCGTGGCTCGGATCTGCGAGGGAGGGAGGGAGGGAGCGCTCGAGAACCGTGTCGTGCGATTCGCGAGAGGCCTGCGCCACCCGAGTCCCGACCTCGGCTCGCTCGCTCGCTCGACTCTCGTGAGCAGAGAAGGCCGGGAGCTCTGCCCGCCCGGCCGGCCCAATGGAGCGAGCCGCAAGACAAACATCGTGCGGGCGTGCGAGCGTGCGTGCGTGCCAACAAACATTCCCGCCCCAGGTTTTGGGACCCACATATTCCTGTCGATCCGAACGAATGGCAGGAATCGGACAACGCTGCGATCGACGATGGCAGATTCCTGGTTACAACAGATTCGCAGCTGGTTGGCATTCTGGACGCTCATTTTACTCTGTCATCTGTGATCGCATGGCAGTGATTGATGTGGACTCGCACGCAAGCATGAGCCCGCGGGTTCCACAGTGCCTTACGGATTGATGATCATGAGCTCGCAGGATTTGGCCTCGCCGGTGCTCGTCTGGATTTGCGGGATTCTTCTCCGTCAGCTTGCTCGGTCGTGAACGTGGATCAGGATTCCTTGCGCATTTGCCATGTTCCGGATGATGGCATTATCACACGGTTGGGATCTCTCCCGTGCCGGTGCATGCCAGCGCGCAATTTCATGTTTGCTCGTGCAGGGTTTTCTGCCTCTTCGTCTACGACCTGGCTCTGCTCTTTCATCGCTGACCTCGGAGCGATTTGCAGTTACGTCGTCGTTTAGTGCTTTCGGTTGCCGGCCTCCTACTCGTCCACCTCTCTCTCGAGCCTATGATGTCCTTCGGATGCGTTTCAGAGGCTCCGGATTGATCAGGACCTCATCAATCTGGCGTGTGATTGGTTGTCAGGATGGATCATGTGGCTTCATGGCTTCGGTGACCGAGTGGTCCAAATCTGACAAGCCTTTCGGATTTACTCGGAGCGTCTGGTGGTGTTAGAGCTTTATCGAAGTGCAGATTCGTGGGATTTGAGTCCAATTGGTCAGCCCTGTCGGTTTGGATGTTCGAAAGTGAGACTTTTCTTGCCTTCCCTGCCCTTCGAGATGCCTCGAGTGCTCGGTCCTGCTCAGGAACGACCGTTCGAGAGTGCAATTCTGACCGAGGATGACGAGCTCTGCCCTTAGCAGCCATAGCTGCACCAAGGGTCGAAGCGAAGGCTACATAGGTGAGTGAACGCGCGGCCTTGACATCATCTTAAGCTAAAATTAAGTCTCCCCACGCCTCGCTGCAGATGGCTGACGATGTTCCTGCTCAGGATCATGTGAGAGACAATCTGGTCTGCTTCTAAGCTGCCCCTTGGTGTAGAATCATCTTCGTCCAACCCCTGACGAACCCGGGAAACACTTCAAGCGATCCGGATGCTAGACATCCTGGTGCTGCCTAGATTCCGATGTCTTCTCATCATCCAAGTGACTCGAGATCGAAAGGCCTTCCAGGGTTGACCCATCACATCCGTAGAATTTTCAATTCTCTGATATCAGCGGTCCAGAGGGTTTACCATACGCAAGCATTCAATTTCCTCTCGACCTTGTTCTGATTACAACGATCACTCGAATCACGAGGAAACTTGGGCATTGCAGACAAGCGTGCCTCTGTGTTGACCCTCACTGCACTGGAGGATAACAACATGCACTGTCAAAGATCTGATGCTCGAGATGCTGCATAACACGAGTTCAGCAGGGGCCAACTTAACGATCGAACACGTATGCCATACGTATGATACGCTGTATGTTGCTGTACATCTATCTCTGGACATGTACTCGTCGGCTACTGGATGAGAAGCCTGTACGGAAGATACGACCCTCGGCAAAGCTCTCTTGATGCTGTTCTGATGCTGGATCGAACATCGGCGACCGAAATCTCAGCACAGCATTTCGCTACCCTGAGGCCCGTTGACTCCAGTTTTGTCCTCATAGGTCAAACTTTAGATTAGCATGTGACCGCATATGGTGCAGGTTGTGGGCAAAGTGATGCGCTTTGAACCCACCATCGACATGGGCGCGAGCTTTTCACGTAAGGTATGCATGAATGCATCACTTCTCCACTGCTATCCACCGAAAGATCTGTGAAAGTCAACCGAGTTTCCATAAAGAGACGGACTAATTGAACTGAGTGTGGTGACAAAGTGTCTTGTAAGCTATACTCTTGCCCCATACACAGTTATGCATGAATGAATGCGCCTTTGTTATCTATTTGAATGGAAAATTTTCATTTAAGCCTTTCCATTGTGTTTTGAATAGATAATTATTCTTCTTGTTGATGAAGTAATATTAAAATTATTGAAAAGATAATAGTGTTATTATAAAATCTATTACTAATTTCACATGTAATAAAAATCAACTCGTTGATTTGATACATTGGAAATATACCAAAAAAAAACTTAAATAGATAACATTACATAAAGTCTTTTTGGTAGAATCGCCATGAAACATCCTTAGATCTTTCTTACTAACATGTTGGGATACCCAACAAAAATCAGATGCACATTACTTCTTGTAATGATTACCCTTGTAATGCACTTTACTTCTTGTGATGAAAAGTTCTTGTCTTTACAATTTTCAACTTCAAAATTTATTATATTAGTAGATAATAGACTTTGAATTAAATTATTTATAATATATATATAATTCTATTCTAAGCATAAACATATGATTACAAAAATCTGGAATTTGAAAACTCATGCATCAATATATCAATATGCGATGATTGTGTGTATGTATATCCTGGGTTATAAGTACAATACAATTTGATGTGAGCTTTGACAAAAGAAGTTACATGCATGACAACTATGAGATACTGACTAGTTTGATTTCAAAAAATACAAAAAATCAGTGAGAATTATATGACTACTTACATTTAATATTTTGTTTCTTAATTAAACAAAAAGTTCAAACGCAAATTTTTATTTTACAAATTTCAAACATAAAAACTTCATTGAAGTATGTTCACATCCATCATCATCCATGTGTTGTATATCATTTTTTAAATAACTTTTGTTACATTTAGTATAGATTTCATATTTTGATAATTCTAGTGTGTACAACTATAAAAATTTACAAGTATTTTATCATTTATGTACATTCAAAAGATAAATTAAAATACTCAAAGATTAATTTTGAGGATAAATATTACTTTCTTTCAAAATAAATATATTTGCACATTGAGAGAATGTATTTATAGTTTTAATAATATAGAATATCATTCCTTTTTATTATTGATAGTCACATCAGATCTTACTTGGATTTGATGAACACTTGTTGATTTTGTTAATGTACACATATAAATCAAGGTATTTATGAAGGTTGATATCTTGAACATTTGTAACAAAGTGTTATTTTAATAATTCTTATTTTTAACATGAATTTTTGCGTAAATTTAGCAAGTGAAATGGTATAAAAATGGAAAAAAAGTTATGATATAAATTTTTTTGACATCTGCTTATCAAATTTAACCTGAATTTGTGTGTTATTTATGACATGTCAAGATTTATAATTAAATTGTTTGAATTATTGAGTGCGTGTGCAAGGTGTACCCCAGATGCAACTATTATGCTACAAGCAAAATACCTGATATTCTTCAATGCCACCATACTTTTCAACTAGCATCTTCAAGTATTCTAGTTGCATCATAACATATATTATAAATCATACATTGTACATAATCATCACAAGTATTAAAAAAAGTAACAACTTTACTATTCACAAATTTTACTTTACTTTGTCCACAAGTAAAAGAAAGTACCTACAAGTGAGAGATTAGCCTCCAACCAATTATCTAAGAGCTAAAAAAATTCTTGGACTTGCTACTGGCTAATGTTCAATTTTGACAATTACAATTTATGGAGAACTAATTAAAATTCAATAATTTGTGCCATAAGTTCTTAATCACATTTCTGAATGAATAAGACTAAGATAACAATCTAATAACCCTAATTTGAACTTTACCAACTGAAGTCTAGGTTTCATTGCTACGCTAATGCCAAGAAAGCTAATCTGCCGATAGGGATCTAACATGAACTGTAGGACCAACCAATTATAACTGCAATATAGTGTTGCATGTATAATGACTTTTCGCACATACATAGGGTTGTGGTTACATAATTCTCGTTGAGCACTATTGTAGATGAAAGAAAGAAAGCATTTGAGACATGTTCATACTGTAGTGTTATGTCTCCTAGAATAAGTAGGTGCTAACGACGCTTAACGGCAATCCTTGGCTCTAGCTAATGTATCTGAGCTCCACGTGCAGAACTAAATGAGTGTTCTTACTTAAGGAGTCGTAAGAGATAAAGTGTCAAAACACTAGTGGGTTTACACAAATTTCCATGAGTTGTGACATAGTAAAAATGGAGGGTCTTCTACGTGTACAAGTGAAAGTCCCAATAAAATTGCACTTAAGTCATCACACGTACCAATGCAAACATGGCTAAAAGAAGTCGATAGCTTGGTTCCTCTAGGTAATGTCTTTCCACATGAATACAAGCTACATGAATAGATTATGCATCGACGATATAAAACGTTGATTTCTAATACAGGCACGTATATATTGCAGAATAAATGACACCATTTTGTGAATGCTCATGATCGTAATGTATACATGACAATTAGAATTGATACAATCCTAGCACTTTGCATCTATAGGTCTAATGGAGTAAAGATGTAATAATCTGACCAAGCGATACTTGAGCATGCTAGCACTAACTTTAAACTATAACCCGAATGTCAATGAACGATAGTTTCTACGGGCCATGAGTGTTCAGGTTGAGGTGAATACACGTCGCTCGTTAGGAAATCGTTTTCATAGTTTTCAAAACTTACGTATCTGAACATACAAATTTACAATCTCTTACCGATGTGTTCAAGAATTTAACAAAAGTAGAGGTCTATATATATATATATATATATATATATATTAGTTATATATCGATCGGATGTTTTGGACCAAGGGATAGAGTAACGAGTTTGATTTAGACTTCACATGAAAACTTTCGAATGCTTTATTGACTCTTTTTGGTCTCCATCGCGGTTTTCAAATAGTAAGAAATCCCAAGTAAGACCAACTACAACTTTTTATGATGTATTACGACGTAAGCTTCAATACAGAAAAACTATACCTTATCGTATTTCATAAATAATATAGTTCCAAAGTTCCAAATGAGCCCCGAACCGCTGAAATCTTGGTTTTATCCTTCGTCCGAGATATCGAGTATTCTGTTAGCACGCTAAAGATGAGTAAGTGGTCCTAGGTCGCTGGAACCACGAATGACTCGAGTTTCAGGCGCCGGGAAGGCGAACCTTTCTTGGATCCGCACATCCGGTCCCGGTTACTCTCCCGGCGACCTTACTAAAACAGACGACGTGCCCGAAAAAGCCACAAAAGGGGAATAAGAAAATAAAATAGCTTTATTACCTGTAAAAGTTCAAAGGGAGGTTATTTTCTTGTTAGATGAAGTATGGATTTGATCGGAAAACTTATTATTCATTAAAACTATGCGAAGATTCCATTGTGATATCTGTCACTGTGTATGATCGGTGAGCAGGTACAGCATCGAGGAAAACAATCACACGTCCGATGTTTCAACCGTAACAACAAAGCGTTGCAAGACATGCGAAACCAGGGCAGCAAAAGAGCATGAGCTTTGGGAGGAAGCTAATGTTCACCACAGAAGAAAAAGATGCCGCCAGCTTTACTGAGTCCTGCTGCAAGTAGCAATCACTTGTGCGGAAATTGAATCGATTCATTGTGCATGCACCGAGCTCCTCCACGGTGCGATTCTTCGGCGTAGGTGAGTTCGGCTCGTCGGGCATCGCCGAATGCAACAGAATCGGTGATCGAAGAGTACGAAAGCACAGGCTCCGAAAAGCCGATGGATCGATCGGCAGGGGCAGGAACTAAGAGGCCGAGGATTGGATGAATCGCACGCTCTCGTCCATGAGGGCTTGCATCACGTCGTCGAGGATGTACTCGGCGTGACAGACGTCAGAGCATCGGGTGGTCACATTCTTGCCCATGTCTCGGAGTTTCTGGACGTAGCGCGCTTGCCAGTCCTGGAGGATGTCGTTGGAGCCTATGGTGACGAGAATCGGGGGCAGTGCCAAGCCGGAGAGGTCTTCGGCTCCGGGGCCGAAGACATTGCACGCAGGATGGTCGCGATCGGCGCCCGGCGGCAGAAACGCAGCCCAGAACCAGTCAGTAAATTCGAGCGACAGGAAGAGCGCATCGGGCATTCGGAGCTCGGCCGGGGACCGCTCGACGCCGCCGAAGAATGGGTGCAATTGCACGACGCCTTTGAGCTCGAGCGGGCTCACGTCGCTCTGCACCGCGCGCGCCATCATGAAGTGCGCGATGTTGCCGCCCGCGCTGTCGCCCACGAAGAACACTCGCGTCGCGTCCGCCGCCGCGAAGAGCTCGCCGCCGCTCTGGCATTCGGCCTGCGCCCATCGAATCGCCTCGAAGCAATCGTCGTACGCTGTCGGGTACCGGTGCTCCGGAGCTCGCCTGTAGTTCACGGACACCACCATCGCCTGCGCCCCTTTGGCCACCAGTCGGCACATTCTGTCGTAGGTTTTCGACGCGGCGCACAAAATCGCGAAGCCTCCCCCGTGGAAGAAGAAGACCACGGGTATCTTCTCGGTCCCTGGATTCGCCGGGCGAAACACTCTCGCGTACTGCTCCGCGTGCTCGCCATAGCTCACATCCTCAGAGTAGACGCCATCCACGGGCTTGGAACTCGCTTTCGCCGTGATGTCCACAAAGTTGCTCAGAGTCCTGTTTATGGTGTGATTCTTTCTGTACAGAAATCCGCGTGCTACGCTGTACAATGCACACACGATCCTCCACGGCAAGGGAAACGACGAGCGCACTGGCACTTCCTCTGAAAAAAATCCAGGAAAGCACGAGGTCATTCCCGTAATTTGGTGCGGCAGACTGCAATCGGACCATTCTTCGAGCTGCTACGGAGTGTGGTCCGAACTCTAGAAGTCGCTGCATAAAGCGACTTCTAGAGTTCGGATGGTTCGCATCCGGGCAAACTCGATTTCACATGCTGCCATAAGACGCGTCCTGAAAGGCTGACACTCGATGCATCCCCCACACTGACAGAAATATACAATCGTTCCTCGCCTTAGCGCTCGGAAAAGAACTGCTCGCGACGTGACTTGGACTTGGACCGACGACGACGGGGGAAATCCTTTTATGATTCGTAATTACCTTCCTCGGATTCCTGATCCGAGGAAGGCCGCAGCCGCAGCCGTCCTGTCATGAACGCCGACATACATGTATGCACGTGTCGTTCAATCTTCTAGAGTTCACAGCAGATTTTCAGTCTCTCTACGGCAGTTGACAACCATAAATCTCACGAGACTACAGTAAGAAAGGGACTTAATTTATTGACTGCAGGTGCATGCGGAATTCTCATCTCCTTACCCAGAGACTCGGCCTTGTACCGTCGCGAATTCTGGGACGCCATGGCTTCAGCACGCCGTCAGATGAGTGTTCATGTCCGTCGTGTTGGAAGAGACTCATCGGAGCAGATGACAGAAGTTTTCTGGGCGGTGGATAAAACTCTGAGACGAGGTGCGAGCACGATACGATTTCCAATCTGCCCGGAAACGCCAGCGCCATCCATATCGCTCTGTCACTGCACTCGGTGCCCGCCCTTGCATTTCTAGAAAGCCATCCACTAAAGTACACAAAAGCACAGTAAAGGTGAAACCTACTCTGGCCAGCAGCCTACACTTTTATGGGCTTAAAGCAACTCTGACGCCTGGGCAGTAGCGTATAATGATGTGATTCGATGAGAAAGTGTAAGTTATGCATAGATTTTATTCTTGAAGGTTTGTTGAGTAGTTCATATCGAGTTGAAAGCAAATCATCTAGAATTTACATACTGTATTTTCCATAGCTGTAAGAAAATGCATGCTTCCTCATTGATATTAGTTTTTGCATATGATTTTTGACGTTTTCCTCACCTTGACGTTTTATTACAACTTAAAATGATGATTACAAGTAAGTTTTATGTAAATAGAGGGGAAACCAAATATCTAGAATATTAGTTGAAGAATAATTCGTTATCGGTAAAAAAATTTGAATTTATATTATTCTGATTGTGTGAATGTTTCAGACCACATAAATTTGTATTGAATTATCTATAGTAGTGACGTAGATTTTTAAATCCATTACACAAAATATATCAACATATTATTGCTACAGTTATGTATTGACTATATGTGTGTATTGCTAGGGTTTTGGATTGGATATTAAACCAACTTGTTGTAAGCAATTAATATGTTTGTATCTAAAGCAAGGAACAAAATAATTCATCACATATTTCAATCACGTAGGGATGTATAAAACTTCACGTAGTTGATTGGGTTTCTGGCTAAAGTATTTCTTTGGAGTTGGAAGGGATGACATTAAAATTCATTCAATGCTGAAGTAGATCAAATAAATAACTTTAATTCTTAGAGTGAATTTTTTGTCTTCATAATTTACAAAATTGTTCACTAATTAATCTTAATAATTTCAATCTACCTGATAAACAATTTTACCAGAAACATGTGGCGATTGTAACCAATACGCAAAAATTATAAATCTTACTAGTTTTTTTGAAAGAAAATAATTGTAAAATTGATTTAAAATAAAAACTTGACAAGTTTTTGATTAAATGTTTGAATTATAGATAATGTACTATAGCTGTGATTAGATAGATTTGAATAATTACAATCATATTACATTCAATTATTGTCAATAATTTAATGTAACATTATTGCAATATATTCAAACAATATATCATCAATAACTTATTGATGATACATTTTGTATTCACTGTATGCAATATCCCATTTTTCGAAATCAATGTTCCGAAGCTGGCCCCACAGTCCTTACTTGGCTCGTCCTTGGTCACATCATTACTTCAAAGTGTTTGCGTTTCGTTTACGGACTTGGACAAGACGTGCGATTTCGAGCACACAATCTGCTCCTGACTTTCCTGAATTATCAAGCGAGTGAGTCGATGTTTGCACAGCAATTCTTGGATTTATCTGCTGTATCTGATGAGCGCGCAAATCAGCCATGCTAGAACTCGGATCCCCATGCCGGACCCACGATGTCTCAAAGCAGCAAGAGATGTTTGTGAAGTCTCTACTCTCAGGGCTGGTAGAAGACCATGGCAAATTTTACTTTCAGGAATCCACGTAAAACATTTCCCCGTGAACGAGAAGCAGTTGAGAATCGAGATGCTGACTTAGTGAGAAATTCCGATCTGTATCTGGCATATGCCTGTGCCCCATTCTCGAGGTGGCGTGAAAGCTGTTAACCTCGCGGACAAAGATACTGTATGACAACGTTCTGCAATTACTTCATCATAAAGTGGAAAAGTACTGACGCTACTGTGCCTTGAGGAGAGAGCCTTATCTCTCAATATGAAAATCGAGGACGCCTTATCCAGGATTCGCAGCATCTTTGACTTACTGATTCTCAGGCTCTCAGCACGCCATTCACCATTAACAGCAAGCAGTCCAGGACATCATTGACCTACAGGATTCATCCAGTTTCAACGCGAATACTATATGAAAACTGATGGGCAACAACCAGCTGCAGGTTGAACATGGACCAAGTTTGAGATTGGTTCATTCTACCGAGACAATGCAAAACTTCCTGGACAGGACATGCCTTGACCCTGTTGACGAGTAAGCTGCCGGCTTATTGTACTGTATCCCAGGAGACGTGAAGGTCCAGCCACTCGTGCCGGGCGTTACAATGCCTTCTCATAACCAAAGTGGATTCTTGACCAGAGTTCTATTTTGGCGATCATCTATATGAATTTAGCTTAAGGTTATATTAATTTTTCTATCTTGTTTGTGGATTTACAAGTTGAACGAGAAATTTTCAGTTCATTCTTCTAGACTAAGAGATGAGGAGTGATCGTTTTTTCACTCGTAGCCTGGGTTCATGTCTTGATTCCGACTATGCTCTAAAACTTTCCACACAATCGCCGTGACTTTAGACAATCACGCAGGTAGATATGGTCGACAAGTAGTTTTCTTTCAAGACAAGCTTTGCTCAAACCCCCTTCCTATGTGTGGTTCTAGGGGCTGGTTTCAAGAGTTACGTTTGATCTCTGCATCTCTTCGCGATTAGTTGCAAACATTTGGTTGCAGTATGTGATACCCTAGGTCCAGATTGTACTACTAGATGTAGTCTTGATTCTTGTATATGGGACACTTCCAAATAAAAATCCTCGCAGTCTGGGATGGAAGTGAGGTACTAAAAGATACAAAATCCTCACAATCTGGGATGGAAATGAATTGCTAAAAGAAAAAGTGCTCAGCAACTAGAGAAACTTATTTATTTGAAGATAATTCGATATGTCATGTGGGTTTCGTTTCTCCCTACTCATCAACTGTAGCATACCCAAATCAGGAACATAATCTATGCAATCGATGTCCTTTGAACCTATCCGAGACTATATTTCCATGGGAAGGAAAGAGACAGAAAAAAACCGTCATGTGTGCTTCTTCATCATGTGAAACAGAGGCAGTTGGCAGCAAAGTCCAAAACATAATGGAAAACAACTTCCTGTGGACTTTTCGACCGTGGTTGACAGAAAAAACGAGAAGTGCAAGTGCGTGGAACATCAGGCCTGGGCTTTTTGTAAACCCTTGGGTGCATGACAGGACCCACTTCATGACTCACCATCAACCAGTAGAAACTTTCCTTACGAGGAGTGAGGGTGCATGAGTCTTCTTCCCAAGATAATAGTGGCGGTGCTAACTGATGCAATTGGAAGAAGTTTTAGCATCGATACCAGTTTTTAAAAAAGACTAGAGAGGCCACGGGACACTCAATCGTCATACGTTTTGAGATTTCAAAAATCACACCAAGCCTCTCCAACTGTCCAGAGAATCCACATGCTTGTGATGGATGTCTCACGACAATCGTTTCTTACCAAGAGTGGCAGCCCTAATAAGAAGGACATCAAGCAATACATATATAATCTATTCCATTAAGACCATTATATGTAATATATTATAATTATTACAAGCTAATAATTGTAAAATATTTATTTTATGCATATTTGTAGATAAATTATGATATTTACATGGGATTTTGATATGCTATATATATATGAAAAATATTATCACAACTTATATTGTAATTATCTTAGTAGATAGATAATCATGTGCAAGAATAAATACATTGAGCATTTAAAGCAGTTTGCATTTAAAATGAACTTTAGTTTAAATGAACATTGTTATTGAGATCATTTGGTCTAAATTATTTATTTAAAATTAGAGCTTTTGATTTTTTTTCAAAAAGCCGAATCTTTGATAATGAGCCTATGATGAAAAATATATAATATAAAACATTGTAGTTTTTGAAGCATAGAGTGAACTCGATTGGATTCAAATGCAAATCCTTGACGGATGCATCTGATAGCCTTCAACAAAGCCTGTCATTTCTGGCTTGTACAGGCGTATTATTGATTCCAAGCACTTGCAGTGCGCTCTTTGGTTTGGTTTTGGTGAAATGTTCACCTAGAACCAGGAGTTCAGCTCGATCCCCTGGCTCGGCTCTAGCTTTTCAAGTTCATATCCCGAAAAACTCAATCCCAAGCAATGCAGCGCATGGGCTACCTATCCATGCGCAACACCACCAGAATCCAGACTGCCTGCCCCTTGCAACATTTGCCTCCGTTGGTGGTACTCAAATTGCAGCAGAGAGAGATAACCATCAGTATCCTTGTCACATGAGGGCCATCGTAATTGATTGAGGCATCAATAACGATGTGGTGGCCTTGGCAATTCCAACTCCTCGTGCGCTTATGAAACAGAAATCCTTCTTTTCTTGTGAACTTGTCTCATGGTGTCATGGCGGGCCAAAATTTGAATAACTACATCATGAGGATCGACCCTAAACCCGACTTTTTTATTCCTAGAAAAACTCATTTGGAGTCTAGGAGAACATCTCAATTTTCTACGAAGACAGTGCTTAGAATTCCGAATCAGATAACAGGCCGTTGTTTACGCCTTGGGATGGTGAGATCAGAGGGATAAAAATTTGTCATGTTTTGGTTTGAAATTCATAGAATTTCATGAAAATATCTGAATTATTCTCCTAAGAGCAAATTAAATGAAGACTAAAGCTCTTTAAAAGAGACCGAATCTTCAAGCATGTACGTGCATCTATTAACGTAGAAGATCTTGAAAATAATCACACAAACTGTGTATGGTTGGGTCGAGATTGATTGATTAATATATACATACATACATGGTTCACTACGACTAAATTGTAGTCTTTTGTGTGATGTTTTCTAGCCTAGTACATCATACAAAAGGGTCAGAAGCTAGAGCAGCGGTGGCCTTTATTTTACTAGCCTCTATGTGAAGAAGTTGAGCGGCTTCGAGTCATAGGACTAAGGAGGCGCTCCCATCATATGTAATGCCCACAACATGCAGCATTTTGATTAGAACATCGTATATGACCTTCAAGTCACGTGAACAAGACTCAATACTGTCACAACTTGTGAGACCTCTTGAATCTGCAATTTGTTGTCTCCAATTATCACATCCTAAAAGATGTAATTTACACCTCAATGTTACAGATTCATTTCTGAAATATAAGAACTTGAGAGTCGACGACTGTCTACCGTGGACTCTAAACTAGTGGCCTGTTTATTTGACATTTGAGCATAATATGTTTGATTCCAGCCCCAGGAAAACATCCAGATATACAAACACGTATAATTCTCTAATACAAAGGTCCAACCTTGTAGTCGTAGACTACTCCTAGGTCCGTCTGAACATTTGAAGATGCAACTAATGACTTGGGGTTGATGTCACAATGCTCTATGAGTTAAGGAGATATTCCAGTTAGGAATCGAATTCTCAACTCCACACATTTTCATATTATGCACCTGCCAGAGCAAATGAGACCATCACAGCTACTACACTGACCACTTGATCCAAGATCTGGACGATGATCTTAGGGCCATGTTCTGGTGAGAGTGCTGAGATTGTGGCCCGAAGTTTTACGTTGGAATCGTCAGGGGATAAGCAAAACAAGCATCATCCGAGTATTTCGAGCATTGTATCATGATTCCATCGACCTTATGCACTGACTCTGTATGCTTTGAAAACTCTTCGAGTTTGCTACAAAGTCTGAAGAAGCTTATACCGGCAGTTTGAAGTCTATGTTCTTCCTGAGAGCATTATCAGTTGGCTTGAAGGATGGCATGAATAGTGCACCCACAACTCGTTGTGTATACAATCTCTTCACCAGACTATGTTTTAGGAATCTGCTATGCTATCCTGAATCGGCAGATGGATAACTTTTCCATCTGCCGATTCAGGAGAGTATAGCAGATTCAGGAAAAGTTATTGTAGAAGGAATATAAAAGATTGGATGATAAACTAGGATTTGCATTTGCAAGAACGAACGAAGCCTGCTTCATATCTATCGGAAAGTAATCCATGAACAAACAAGAAGTTACTCAAGTCGCTGAACCAGTAGGATACAACAGTTTTTTTTCATCAGATTGAAATAATTTGTTCTTACGATGGCGATGAAGAGTTAAATGCATGGGGGCAGTTCTTACTCAAAGGAGAACGATCGTATAAGTGCAAAGTATGTGCACATCGCAGCTTCTGTGAACCTTGTATGGCGACTTCTGAAAGCTCTACATATAACCCGTGGACATACTAAAAGTGCACCTAGATCTCATACTGAGCTGACTCTAAACCCGAAATCCTTGCGTTGCAGGTCAACTCCTTGAGTCAGCTGTCGTGAGTATTGCTTGGCTCAGATCTCGTTGTCGGCATCAGACGTGTACTTCTCTTCGTTAGTAGCATAAGCCTGACTGGAATAAAAGTTACGATATGCTTGATGTATCGACAGCATCCAACAACACTTCGAGCAAATTCTCTGAGACAAAGCAGACCGTTTGCGAGTAAAGCCCTCGCACGCCCGAGAAGTGCAGCAAACTTTCTCGCTCCAGGAGTGTCTCGGCCGAGCATATAATCACGGCTCCAGCACACCAGAGAGGACAGGCCGAAGCAGACGGATCCAAAGATCACGCTGCTCAAAGCAGCGAAAAGAAGCAGCGCTACCAGCGCTGTGATGGCCGGAAGGAACGATACGAAGAAAGGCGAAATCATCAAGTACATCATGAAGAAAACGGATAAGCTACCGCCTATTGACATGATCCATAAGCTGAGTATCAGAATCCCCACCGTGAGCGCTGCCAGTAATATGATACTGGCGAACAGCAAAGCGTACGTCAGATGGAAAATTACCTTGCTCGCCCACTGAACTGCCTTCAAGAACGCGCGACTCATAGTCCTGACAGAGGCCATGACTTCATACAGGCCATCGAAGTGATACCGCTTCGATGAATCCTTTTCTATCCACTTTATCACACCCAGTCGAAGGATTTCGTCCATTGAGAGAAGAGCTGTTTCCTCAGGATACTCTTCTCGAGTTTTTTCTACCAAGTATCTAAGAAAGTCTTTACTCTCCACCAATTTGTAACCCGTGGAAGAGCTCAGAGGAGTAATTTCTCGATCGGTGCTGTCCGAACTCGTTGCCTCCTGCTTCGTGACGAACAGCTCCACGAACTTGACCAGCTCCTCTGCTTTCCATGCTTCGAAGCACTCGTTGAACACATGACTCATCGCAATCATCATCTTCGGGCAGGTTCAAGACGGGATCTGATGCTCGACTTTCTTCTGCACGAAAGCACGGCAGTGGGTGGAGGGTGCAGAGTCCCCGACCACGAGACCGTGGGACGCGACCCGTGCCTGCAGCGATGCTCCGAGCGAAGATGGTGCCGGCCCGTCGTTCTGCAAGCTCGACGGCCATGATATGCGCGCAGAGAGAACGAGGCCGAGGGCCGAGGACCGACACTCAACATTTGCATCCGTTAGAGTTCGAACTGTCCACGCAAATCGATTAGCCGGTGCTGGCTGCGCTCCGCAACGGCATCGGAAGCCGGCGCTTTCGAATCGACCTCGGATCGAATTCGCAGCTGGGCTCCGAGCGAGGTCGCTTGCTCCGGAAAGTCATGCACGCACGCACCGATCGAGGGCTCTGACTGCGTCGCAGCTTTAGGATTGATCGATCGAGCTGCGCCTGGCAAGCGTCGAATTCTCAAACGAGCGCAGCCCATGGCCTCTGATCAGTCAGTCGGTCGCTGACCTGCCTGCCGCTCAGAGCGCTTCTACCACAAGGCTCAATGCGGGACAGCAGTTTTGATTCGTTGGCTGGATGGAGCAGACTCAAGCAATATCACCTCGTCAATGTCACCAGGTCATGTTCTTCTCTTGAAAGCAAAATGATTTTGAAGTTAACGATCGACCTGCTACGATGGACACCCGCCACATTCTGGAAGTATGGGGAGGATTCTGAGAGTAGCTTGTGTCACGAGAACCGGACTTTCAAAAGGTGGACTAAAAATCGCCATCGTTGTTGGGAGGGGAATGTGGCAGAGTTTAGAGAGAGCCATTGCATCTGCTGGCTGGCAGGGCTGCGTTCGCGTACGGGACCTGAAGATGGACCGACAGCGTGGCCGGCAGTTTTGCGTCATTCGAAACGGAAATGGACTTCGAGGTTGCCGAATGAGATGGGTGAGAACTAGTGTTGCACGCGCAGCACTGCACTGCAAGCGGACACTTTTCTGAGCAGGCATTTGTCAGTGCCACTTGTAGGAGAGCTTAACAGCAAGGATTTGAGTCCCCAGAGTTCCTGATTGATGCGAGCTTCCGATGAAGGAAGACTCTTGACTGGGCAAGTAACACTTCCATCGTCAGTCATCAAGTCGGCTTCACGTAACATGTATAAACTCATACGAATTCGTATTTTTGGAGCTGCAGCTGCCGGTGAACGTAGGGCTCGCGGGGGTCCATGATCGTGAGGGAAACGCGAGTGGAGGAACGGCGAGGGAGAATCGGGAAATTGGAGCGGCGAGTATCGATCCTTGACAAGGAGGCGGTCCTTGATGAGGAGGCTATGCGAGAATTCTTTGAGGAGGCAGGACGAGCAGCATAGGCCAATCTTCAGCTTGTTTCTTTTAATATTGACTACAAGCAAACAAATTGCAGACATTCATAGATCCACCAGCGCATCAAGCACAGTTATGGTAGTCAGCCAGTTATAGTGATGTAGGCGAATCTATTTATACGTAATTCCATGAATTTGTAAGACCACGCAGATAGAACTCGTACGACAGAAAACATCAGTTGGCTTGAAGGATGGCATGAATAGTGCACCCACAACTCGTTGTGTATACAATCTCTTCACCAGACTATGTTTTAGGAATCTGCTATGCTATCCTGAATAGGCAGATGGATAACTTTTCCATCTGCCGATTCAGGATAGCATAGCAGATTCAGGAGAAGTTATCGTAGAAGGAATATAAAAGATTGGATGATAAACTAGGATTTGCAAGAACGAACGAAGCCTGCTTCATATCTATCGGAAAGTAATCCATGAACAAACAAGAAGTTACTCAAGTCGCTGAACCAGTAGGATACAACAGTTTTTTTTCATCAGATTGAAATAATTTGTTCTTACGATGGCGATGAAGAGTTAAGTGCATGGGGGCAGTTCTTACTCAGTGGAGAACGATCATATTAGTGCAAAGTATGTGCACATCGCAGCTTCTGTGAACCTTGTATGGCGACTTCTGAAAGCTCTACATATAACCCGTGGACATACTAAAAGTGCACCTAGATCTCATACTGAGCTGACTCTAAACCCGAAATCCTTGCGTTGCAGGTCAACTCCTTGAGTCAGCTGCAGTTCATACAAACCAACCTACAGCGTCTTGCTTGGCTCAGATCTCGTTATCGGCATCAGAGGTATCCTACTCTTCGTTAGTAGCATAAGCCTGACTGGAATAAGACTTACGATATGCTTGATGTATCGACAACATCCAACAACAATTCGAGCAAATTCTCTGAGACGAAGCAGACCGTTTGCGAGTAAAGCCCTCGCACGCCCGAGAAGTGCAGCAAACTTTCTCGCACCAGGAGTGTCGTGGCCGAGCATATAATCACGGCTCCAGCACAGCAGAGAGGACAGGCCGAAGCAGACGGATCCAAAGATCACGCTGCTCAAAGCAGCGAGAACAAGCAGCGCTACCAGCGTTGCGATGGCCGGAAGGAACGATACGAAGAAAGGCGAAATCATCAAGTACATCATGAAGGAAACGGATAAGACCAATTGACCGCCAATTGACATGATCCATAAGCTGAGTGTCAGACTCCCCACCGTGAGCGCTGCCAGTAATATGATACTGCCGAACACCAAAGCGTGCGTCAGATGGAAAATTACCTTGCTCGCCCACTGAGCTGCCTTCAAGAACGCGCGACTCATAGTCCTGACAGAGGTCATGGCTTCAGACAGATCATCGAAGTGATACCGATTCGATGATTTTTTTTCCATATACTTTACCGCACCCAGTCGAAGGATTTCGTCCATTGAGAGAGCAGCTGTTTCATCAGGATACTCTTCTCGAGTTTTTTCTACCAAGTATAGAAGAAAGTTTCTACTCTCCATCAATTTGTACCGCGTGGAAGAGCTCAAAGGAGTAATTTCTCGATCAGTGTTGTCCGAAGTCGTTACCTCCTGCATCGGGACGACCAGGAACAGCTCCATGAACTTGACCAGCTCCTCTGCTTTCCATTTTTCGAAGCAGTCGTCGAACACATCAGCCATCGCAATCATCATCTTCGGGCAGGTTCAAGACGGGGTCCTGATGCTCGACTTTCTTCTGCACGAAAGCACGGCAGCGGGTGGAGGGTGCAGAGTCCCCGACCACGAGACCGTGGGACGCGACCCGTGCCCGCTGCGATGCCCCGAGGGAAGATGGTGCCGGCCCCTCCTTCTGCAAGCTCGACGACCATGATATGCGCGCAGAGAGAACGAGGCCGAGGGCCGAGGACCGACACTCAACATTCGCGTCCGTTAGAGTTCGAACTGTCCACGCAAATCGATTAGCCGGTGCTGGCTGCGCATTGCAACGCCATCGGAACCCGACGCTTTCGAATCGACCTCGGATCGAATTCGCAGCTGGGCTCCGAGCGAGGTCGCGGGCTATGGCGCCGTTGTCGCTTTCTCCGGATAGTCATGCACGCACGCACCCCGGTCGAGGGCTCTGGCTGCGTCACCATCGATCGATCGAGCTGCGCCTAGCAAGCGTCGAATTCTCAAACGAGCGCAGCCCATGGCCTCTGATAGTCAGTCGGTCGCTGACCTGCCTGCCGCTCAGAGCGCTTCTACCACAAGGCTCAATGCGGGACAGCAGTTTTGATTCGTTGGCTGGATCGAGCAGACTGAAGCAATATCACCTCGTCATGTTCTTCTCTTGAAAGCGAAATGCTTTGGAAGTTTACGATCGACCTGCTATGATGGACTCCCGCCACGCTCTGGAAGTAATGGGGAGGATTCTGAGAGGGGCTTGTGTCACGAGAAACGGACTTTCAAAAGGTGGACTATGAATCGCCATCGCTGTTGGCAGGGAAATGTGGCAGAGTTTAGAGAGAGCGATTGTATCTGCTGGCTGGCAGGGCTTCGTTTCTGTACGGGACCTGAAGATGGACCAACAACGTGGCCGGCAGTTCTGCGCATTTGAAGCGGAAATTGACTTCGAGGTTGCCGAATGAGATAGGTGAAAACTAGCGTTGCACGCGCAGCACTGCACTGCAAGCGGACACTTTTCTGAGCAGGTTTTTGTCAGTGCCACTTGCAGGAGAGCTTAACAGCAAGCATATGTCTCCCCAGAGATCCTGATGCGAGCTTCCGATGAAGCAAGCCTCTTGACTGGGCAATAAAACACTTCCATCCTCAGTCATCAAGTCGGCTTCACGTAACATGTAAGATCGTACGAATTCGTATTCTTGCAGCTGCAGCTGCCGGTGGAAGTGATGTCCGCTTCTACGCCCAGGCATCGAGTTGTCATTTGTAGGACCACAAGATTACTCAAAATTCCGAGAGCCGCTACAGATTCCATAATGGATGATGAACTTTCCCACATTATTACAAAACTTCATCGATCGACAGCGCCAATACGAATTCTCTAGTTCTTTGTCGCTCAGACCTTCTGGAAAAAATTCTATCAACCGTTCTCCGTTTTCACCGGAGCAGCCGAGGAGAAATTGGCGTCATCTCAATCCTGCGAATTGCTTATAATTTCTTGAAAGCATTGAAATCATACGTGATTCCCAAATTTGAGGATCCCGAGGTGGTCAAAGTGAGACCTGCTTGATTTACAAACCAACAATTTCACATGAGCCCAGTTCCAGTTCCTGGGATTCTCTATCAACAAGGAACCTGAATTTTCCAAATGAGTGAAACAACTGAAATCGTTGACCGAGAAAATTTCAAACCCTCTCTTTTCCACTTGCATCCATTTCGAGGTCCCAGATTACCTGGATTCAATGAGTAAATTCTTACGGTAAACACACGCTATGTTCGATCGATCAATCGATCCCAGAAATAACTTGAATTTCGATTTACAGGAGTTACAACGAGTTCACGAGTCCGATCATTGGGACGACACCGCCCCAGTGATCGAGCACGAGCCAGATCGAGCATCCAATGGACGAGCTAGATCGGTGGAAAGTCTCGGGCATCGGTTCACTGGACGCGAGCGAAATGACACGTGGCGTAATAATTTTAATGTGTACTTTTTACTACTAGTTTTTATTCGATTAGGTAATTCAATGTGTTATCAATTGTTATTGAACATTAGTGCTTAACTTCTCCTTGGACCACTTCACAATCTTTGGAGTGTAAACTGGTCATCTCTGTAGATGTGTTTTTATCACTTCTGGGCAAAAGTTTACCTGATCGCAGATTTCAATTCTAAAAAGTTTGCTAAACACAATTGTGATCATGACTACATTTTTGGACCAAAAAGATACTTCGAGTAATTTTGAATCTACTAGAGTCATTCGCCTTCCCGACTGAAATGCAAGTATTTTCCCTGATTGCAACGAACTTAGTTTCAAAGTGGACTCGGAAGAGTTGGAAGAAGCGGCATCCAGATCTCATGAGCTCCAAGTCCCAGGTGGATGCACTTTGATGTTTGAAAAAATCGTGTGGCTTATCCCAATCCCATCGGTTATGAACAACTTGGAGCTGCCGATATGATCATTGGAAGGTTTTCATCAGCATTCTCTCTACAAATGCATTTCTCCAACACTGCTGTTGAGCAAACTTCACTTTGTAAGATGTGAGCACACGAGCTGTACATAGTCTTTGCCATGGCATCAGTATTGTACAGTACTTATATATCTCTCAGCAGTTCAGCGGTTTGAGCTTGCTTGTATAAACAGTTTTGGATGAGACGAGATACAGAAAGTAGACGAGTCTGAAGAGGCGACTTCTGAAAGCTCTACATATACCCTGTGGACATACTGAAACTGTACCTAGATCTCATACTGAGCTGACTCTAAACCCGAAATCCTTGTGTTGCAGGCCAACTCCTTGAGTCAGCTGCAGTTAATATAAACCAACCTACAGCTAAGATTTCGTTGTCGGCATCAGAAGTTTTATTCTGTTCGCCATGAGCAGAACCTTGATTGACAAAAGAGTTGCCATGTCCTTGATGTATCCACAGCATCCAGCAACACTTCGAGCAAATTCTCTGAGACGAAGTAGACCGTTTGCAAGTAAAGCCCTCGCACGCCCGGAAAGTTCAGCAAGCTCTCTCGCACCAGGAGGGTCGTGGCCTAGCAGATAATCATGGATCCAGCACAGAAGACAGAACACGCCGAAGCAGGCGGATCCAAAGATCACGCAGCCTAAAGCAGCGAGAAGAAGCACCGCTACCAGCACTGTGATGACCGGAATCAACGATACGAAGAAAGGCAAACGTAAGGAGCTCGTGGAGAAGAAAACGGATAAGCCAGTGGCCATTGAGGCGATCACTCCCGCGAGCATCAGACTCCCCGTCGTGATACTCCCCAGTCCAATGATACTGGCGAGCAGCAAACCGTTCGTCAGATGGAAAATTTCCTTGCTCGCCCACTGAGCTGCCTTCCAGATCGCGCGAGTCTTAGTCCTGGGCTCCGAGGGCATGGCTTCAGACAGATCATCGAAGCGGTATTCCTTTTCCATTCTCTTCACCAGACCCATTTGAAAGACAGCGTCCCTTGAGAGACCATCTGCTTGATCAGGATACTCTTCTCGAATTTTGTCTTCCAAGTATCGAAGAAATTCTTCACTCTCCACCAAATTGGAATCCGTGGAAGAGCTCGAAGAAGTAATTTCTCGATCGCTGTCGCCCGAACTCGTTGCCTCCTGCTTCGTGATATCCGGGAACAGCTCCATGAACTTGACCAGCTCCTCTGCTGTCCATGCCTCGAAGCACTCGTTGAACACCTCAGCCATCGAAATCATCATCTTCGGGCAGGTTCAAGACGGGTCCTGATGCTCGACTTTCTTCTGCACGAAAGCACGGCAGTGGGTGGAGGGTGCAGAGTCCCCGACCACGAGACCGTGGGACGCGACCCGTGCCTGCTGCGATGCCCCGAGCGAAGATGGTGCCGGCCCCTCCTTCTGCAAGCTCGACGTCCATGACATGCTCGCAGAGAGAACGAGAACGAGGCCGAGGGCCGACACTCAACATTCGCATCCGTTAGAGTTCGAACTGTCCACGCGAATTGATTAGCCGGTGCTGGCAGCGCTCCGCAACGCTCTCGGAAGCCGACGCTTTCGAATCGACCTCGGATCCATCGATTCGCTGCTGGGCTCCGAGCGAGCTATGGCGCCGTTGTCGCTTGCTATGGATAGTCAGGCACGCACCCATCGAGGGATCTGGCTGCGTCACCATCGATCGGTCGATCGACTGCGCCTTTACGAATCCTCTAGTTCTTTGTCGCTCAGACCTTTTGAAAAAATTTCTATCTTCCGCCCAAGGAGAAATTGGCCTCATAACAGACTTGCGAACTGCATTGAAAGCATACGTGATGCCCAAATTTGAGGATCTCGAGGTGGTCAAAGCGATAAAAGGTCCAGGAGACCTGCTTGATTTACGAACCAAAAATTTCACATGAGCCCACTTTCAGTTCCTGGAATTCTTTGTCATGAAGAAACCTGAAACTTTCCAAAATAATAGTGAAAAAACTGAAACTCGGTGTCTGAGAAGAATTCAATTCCTCTCCTTTCCGCTGGTATCCATTCCGAAGTCCCAGATTACGTGGAATCAGTGAGTAACTTCTTACGAGAAATACAAGCTATTATCGATCGATCGATCGATCCCAAATAGCTCATGAATTTCGATTTACAGGATGCACACCGAGTCCACGAGTCCGATCGTTGGGACGGTGTGCACGAGCTAGATCGCTCGAACAGCTCGGGCTTCAGTTCACTTGACGCGAGCGAAATGACACGTGGCATAAATATAACCTTCCCGAAAACTGGAACATATAACAACTTAAACAATCGGTAACACGCTTGCTATACAAAGAGAAACTAATATAATTATATAAAGGGCAACTAGTATAATTAAACTACTTAGCTAGGAGATGATGTTATTAGACGAGAGAGTAAGAGATTAATATTCCAACATTCACCAGTTTGTTAACATAGACGAATCAGAGATTTCTACAAAAATCTAGTCTATATTTAAAATTTATAAAAATATATTTCTCAATTTCTGATGTTTTCAAATTAGCAAGTTCAAATACTTGCATGGTAAGAAAATGGATTCTAAAGATTGTATCATGATGTTGTATATATAAGAGACTTCTATGCATAGATTTGTACATTAGTTTTGTTCATTAAATTTGATGTTTTTGAATTTGATACATAATCTTGATGAAACTTAAAATGATATAACCAAACTTTTTTCGGCTTCCAATATCATTTTGT